ATTAAACCATAGCATGGAGTAGTAAAATTCACAGGAAGGACATCCAGGTGTTGAGGAGGCATTACCTAGGAAAGAAAGACGGTGAGCACTGGAAGAGGAATCTGCTCACCTCTAGTCTGTCAGGATAGGCCAAGACAGTGGGCTACAGATGAACCCAGCAGGTACTTACGTGCTATAGTGAGGGCCCAAGGAATATTTCTCTTTACTCTGCAACTGGGGAGTGCCTGCTTATCACCCCTCCAGCCTTGTTTCTATCCAGCCTTGGGGAAGCCTCAGAATGTTGAGCCAGGCTTCTGGAGGGGAGAACAGTTAGTAGGAGCCCTGCAGCATTAGGACTGGGGGCCCTGCCTGCCTGAGTCAGCGCCGGGCCTCTTGGGGTGGAGGCTGTCTTCCGGGTGAGCCTGGCAACATGCCTAGACCAGGTTCTGAGCTCCCAGGCAGAAGGGCCCTGGTGAACCCAGTAGATTTGACTCTCTTTTCTTCTCTATGCCCTGCTTTCTCTCCTGCCAGCCACGGCCCCAAGAGCCTGCTTGGGAACCAAGCAAGTTTTTGCCATTTGGTTCCAAATACTGATTTCTAGGGATGCCGTTACTCTTCTGAAGCTGCTTGAGAGTCATGGGGGCTGCTTTCACTGAGGGGACCTTGGGGGTCTGCCTGGGGTGTGGTGTAGGTAAGAATGTTGGGGATGTCTGCTGTCATCTATCCTGCTGTAAGCAGGGAGGCTGGAGAAGAGAGAGCAGAACTTTAGCCAGATCCTGTTTCTTTGACCCAGAAGAGCAGCTAAGTCTCACTCAGCCTACCACCCTGTTGGTGGGATCTGGGGCCAAGATGAACAGGCTTGGTGTGAACAATTGAAGAGAACTCTTGTCTCCATAACAGCCACCCCACAGCCTTACCACCTCTTCATCCTTCAGAGCATAAGGGTAAGGGGGAGCACAAGAGTTGCCTCAGCTGGGGCCTTGGCCGAGGAGCATTGTCTACGGGAGACACTCACCTTTCTGGACTTCCTTCTTTTCTTCACTTTTCCTAGTAACTCTCTGCAACCTGCCCCATGTCCCTGCTAAGGAAAACATGAGACATCGGGGTAAGAAAAAGACTTAAGTGTTTTAAGTCCCAAGAGTTGGGTAGCTTAAGCCTGAGAATGGATTTGGTGACTCTGGAACAAGGGATCAGAGAGCAAGCACCAGGGCTCATTGTGCTCCCTGTGGCCCTGAGCAAGTGGGACCTCTTTTCTGACTATGCTGGGTACCCAGCCTAGAACCAGTCCTTCATATCTGCCCCAGCTGATTGCCTGGCTGCCCTTCTTCGCTCTCACAAAGGCCACAATGGCTGATGTCTTTTCCCCAAGTCTAGAAGGCAGTGAAGTTCTCAGCCTGGACCCCTGTCCCATGGAGAAGGCCTGTGGCATCTCTGTTGGCCTGCATTTGACTGAGCAGATTTAGCTTAGATACAGAAGGTTGTTGACAGTCAGACTTTCTGGCTTAGTGGGGACATTTGAGGGCATAATAAATTGCTCTTTTCTGGGGGCAGGAGGGAGGGGAGAGTAAGCAGAGTCTTTCTGTGTAGCCCAGGCTGGCCTGTGGTTGCTCTTTATTGGATATTGGTTAAAGCATTTGACATGTGTTCTTTCATCTGCCTATGAGAAGTAGGGAATGTTTTATTGTCACTTTACAGATAAGTAAACTAAAGCTAGTAGGTAAAGAGTCAGGACTTGAACCTACTTCTGAGGACTAGTGCCTTACATACTGATGTGTGCAAAGACCCCACATGGGTCATTTTTGGGTGGTTTTCCACCCCCCACCCCCCACTCCATAATCTCACTTCCTTCTTAAGGAAGGTGTTGATAGTAATAAAGTTAATGTGAGTGAAGTGGCCCTTACGATATAAACTATGGCCGTTTGTCTCTGGTATCTATACTCTTGCTTTTATTTTTTAATTTTTGTTTTCTTTTGTTTCTGGTATCTGCACTCTTAATCCTAATCAGTAGGGAAGGGGGAGTCTCATGAGTGGTCAGATGGTTGTTTGATGCTCCTTGAAATCCAGCAGCAGCCTCCTGGTGGGAATGCTATCTTGCTGTGCCACATAGACCAGCCCCGAGCCAGAGACAGCAAGAGGGATGGGCGAGGCAGAGCTCAGAATGCCCATGGCATTTCCAAGTTGGGCTTCAGAGGTGCAAAGGGCCCAAACCCTCAGGTAAATGGCAGATCCCTATTCTGGGTGTTCAGGACCTGAACACTGCCAAGCTCCTGCTGCCTTTGGCTTGTGTCCCCAGAAAAGGGGCATATGACAAGAAATTTAGCAGGTGCGTTAAAAGCTGCCAAGGAAGAGGACTGGTGTGTAGATTGGTGGTAGAATGTTTTCCTTGCATATGTGAGGCCTCAAGTTCATTCTCCAGCACTGAAAAAAAGAAAAAAACTTGCCTAGGAAACTTTCCCAGCCATCTTTCTCTCATGGGAGTCTAGGCAGAAAAAAGGTTTCCCTTCCGCCTGGGAGGATGAGGTACTAACAGGGCAGCTTGTTAGGGAGGATAACATTAAGAAGAGGTGGCCATGGAGGACACGCCTTCAGGTCTTGTCAATAGGCTTAGGGGACCCAGGATTCTTCAAGAAAACTGACCCACCAGGCACCAGCAGGATGTGGAACTGCCCTTCTCTTCAAGAGTGGTGATCCCCAAAGTTCCTTAAGGAGGGAAGAGAGCAGGTATTTGAAAATTCTTGTCTAGCAAATGCCATGTAAGGACCAGCTATGGTTAGGTGAGCTGCAGAATGTGTGGAGAACAGTGGGCCAAAGAGTTATACAGCTGGAGTGGACAAATAGTAGGGCTTGGTGGGGAGGGGGCTCATGGGGACTCAAGCAACAGTGAGGACTTGTTAGAGATTGTTCTGGGATATGAGTTTGCTATGTGCCAGGGGTTTTTCTCCTCCAGGGAACTTCTGGGATCTGGGTCAAACAGTTCAAGAAACAGCTCACAGGGGCTGGTGGTTTGGCTCAAGTGGTAAGAGCGCCTGCCTAGCAAACACGAACCCCTGAGTTCAAACCCTAGTACTACCCAAAAAAATGAAAAATAAAACAAAAAAATTCAGAGCTGCTATGCAAAGGTCCTCCCTCCATGGATACATTAAGGAAGAGGGAAAGTCAGAATTGTTCTGCTGAAGAAGCATCTGTAGGGCCAAAAGATGCTTCCCAAGGGACTCTTTCTGTGTGGGTTTTGAGGACTTCACTTGGAGCCAGGAAGGAGTATAAAAGGAAGAACCTTGACTCAAGTGCCTCTGGTTGCCCTGCTACTCTTCAAACTGTCTCCTTGAAATTTCTAAGGCAGCTTTGGATGGTTCTTGGATGAGGCTCTGGCAGGAGCTGTGTCTTCATGTGCTGGAGCAATGGTGCCAGGTGTTTTCAGAGAGGTGAATCAGGACTCAGAATAGGAGTTCAACTAGACTCTCTTCTTTTTTTAAGCTATATTAGGATATAATTCACATACGATACAATCTACCCACTGGAAGTACAACTATGTTAAATTAACTTTATTAAATTCAGGGCTGGGGGCATAGCTCAAGCAGTAGAGAGCACCTGCCTAGCAAGTGCAAAGCGCTGAGTTCAAACCCTAGTACCACACACACACAAAAAAAATCAGAGTTGTGTATCACCACAATTAATTTTAGAGCATTTTCATTACCTCTAAAAGAAACCCCTACACCCCTTAGTTGTCACTCACATCCCCCCTCCTCAACCCTAGATAACCAACCACTAGTCTATATTTTAGTTCTTTACCTGTTCTGAACATTTCATATAAATGGAATTATACAGCATGTGGTCTTTTGTGACCAGCTTCGTTCACTTAATGTCTTCAAGGTCATTCCATGTTGTAGCATGTATCAGTACTTCATTTCTTTCTTTCTTTCCCTTGGTACTGGGGATTGAACCCAGGACTTCATGCATGCTAAGTAAGTTCTGTACTGTGGGCTAGCCTCCTGTCTCTGCCTCTTGAGTAGCTGGGATTATAAACATGTACTACTACACCCAGCTTCATTTCTTTTTATTGCCAACTAATATTCCTCTGTATGGATATGCCACATTTGTTTGTCAGTTGATAGACATTTGAGTTGTTTCCATTTCTTGGCGATTATGGATTATGCTACCATGAAGGTTAGTGTAGACATATAGCCTCATTACTCTTGGGTATGTGCCTATGAATGGAATTGCTGGATCTTGGTCTCTCTGTGGTTAGTACTTTGAGGAGTGTACAAATCTTCATACAGAAGATTTTTGTTAAACCAGGTATTTTTTGTCTTCTGTTCATATACTTGTGCATAGCCAGCTGTAACTTCTGCTTCCTCACACTCTTGTTTGATGTGTGGAGTATCTAAGGAGAGCAGTGCAGGGCAGACTGCTACTTTGCTCAGACCCAGTTATTTAGTTCATTCATTGTACATGGTACTGATCATAGTTCAGTCCGTCTATGTGCTAGAATGTGTCAGAAGATAAAGGATATATGTGTTCTGGCCTTCATGGGCTTCCATTCTCATTGCGAGCAACAGTAAATAAAAGTAAAGTGGTAAATAGTGGAGGTTAATGCAAAGGCAGGTGGCAACAAAGGTTTTGATGCAGCTCTCACCATGCTGCTCTGCATGCAAGTCCCACATCGTGAACAGCAGATGTAGGAGACTGCATCTCCCAGCTGGGGCAGAGGAGCTGTTGGGTTACTAATGGGAGGCCAGCGACACTGATGACGAGTCAGATCTGGTCCTGAGCTCTGATGCCCACAGCCCACAGGACCTTGGCACTGAACCTTAGGCTGCGCTCCTCTGGAGTGAAGATTGGCTGTCATGTCCTCTCCTGTTCCTTTTTTTCTGCCTGCCTTATGATTGTTTGCGTGCCTACTAGCCTCTCGGAACCTTCCTGTGCACCCCGTCCTCTTAAGAGAATTTTGCAGAGAGCTGAGGGCAGGGATTGAGAGGACTGGAAGGGCAGCAGGTAAGGGCCTGTCTGTTTCCACCCTGCAGCCAACCTTGGGACACCTTGATTCCAAGCCCAGCAGTAAGTCCAACATGCTGCGGGGCCGCAACTCAGCCACCTCTGCTGACGAGCAGCCCCATATTGGCAACTACCGGCTCCTTAAGACCATTGGCAAGGGTAACTTTGCCAAGGTGAAGTTGGCCCGGCACATCCTGACAGGGAAAGAGGTGAGCACTGGGGTTGGGGATGGCAGCAGCTCCCACCCACCCTGGTACACTCCAGTAGGTAGTAGGAGGACCACTACTGCAGCCAGCCTACTACTGAAGGAGATACAAAGGAGGAAGTGAAGTCAGATCCTGAGGCAAACATGTGATCTTGGGTTTTTTTCTCTCATGTTCAGGTAGCTGTGAAGATCATTGACAAAACTCAACTGAACTCCTCCAGCCTTCAGAAAGTAAGTGCCCTTTCTAAATCTCCCTCAGGTCAGTGATCTACTGACCCCATGGAACCCCATAGACTGTAAAAACTCTGGCATTCCACCCCTTCCCTGTGGCTCTGCTCCCTCCAGGGCTTTGGTTGGATCCCCTGTGGTGGCTCTACCTGGGTGGGTCTCTTGGTCAGAGGCACTGTCTCTTCTGAAGTGTGTGCCCCTTCCCAGCCTCTTGATCTACCTGTATCTTGTTATCTTCTGGCTTGTGGGCAGCCCTCTGCAAAACCCTATGTTCATAGCATTACTAGAAACACAGGCAGCTATTCAAAGATGTGGAATGACCTAGGGGAGTAGCGCTAGAAGTATGGGAATGAGGAGGAAGGGAACCTACCACTGGAGTGCTAGCCCCACTTCAGAGAGTGAGTATAGAAGACTAGAGTTCTAAAAACTCCAGTTCTAAGTTTCTGACAAGGTGTGTAGATTCAGGACAGATACTTCAGTTTTCTTCTCACTTCTGAGCTCGCTTGCCTTGATGTCACATAGTCATTTGCATGAAGTTTTTGCTAGGAATGTGATAGAAGTGAGAAAAGAAAGGAGAGACCTTCAACTTACAGAAGGGGGACAGCTTGCCAGTGACTGTTGTAGAAACGAAGCCCTTTGCCCTTCTCCCCATCCTGGGCTCCAGTTAGGGGAAGGAGGAGGCTCCTTTCTGCCTCCAAATGAGGTACCCCCTACCCAGTTAGGGTAGGGTCAGTTAGCTTCTTTTGGCCCTCCTACCACAACTGACCCTTGCTCAGATTTTCTGACCAAGACCTAGCTCTCTTCATGTTGTGGTCAATGGAATTTTTCTTTGCATGAGCACATTGTGAACACTGAGTTGGGGTCCAGGATCCACACAGTCAGTTACAGTGGCAATGGGAGACTAAGGGCAGGGGGCAAAGGGTTATGGGGATAGGTGCTCCCAAGTTAGAACACATGGGGTAAGTTTCCCTGATATGCTGACAGCACATCAGTGAATCCCTGGGATACCCTCAAGGGTCTTTGGTTCAAAGGAAACATTGCTCTCATCCTCAGTGCTTCCCTCCTTGGAGTTTCTGGAATAAAGGGAAAAAGATCTGCTCTTGACCCACTGGCTCCACCCCTGCAAAAGTGAAGCCAGAGTAGGGTGGGCTGTTGGTCCCTGGAGTATTCTAGCCTGCCACCATGGTCATCACCAGAGTCAGCCAAGCCATTTCATTCCCTTCCTCTGTGTTCTTCTCCCTACTTCTTCCTGACTGTCTGGAAGGCACTGCACCAGACAAACCAAGCCATTTTAAAACCTTTCTTTAAAACATATTTCATTAGCAAGGTCGGTCTGATTCTGGTCAATCACTCTGTTTGCATCCTAGTAGTGATCCTAGTAGTGATTCCTAAAGGACAAGTATTGATGACTGGCCCTTCAGTGTTCTAGAGCAGCCCAGAAAGTTCCAGGTTTCTCAGGGAATGCTTTTCTAGGCCACTTGTCAGAACCCTGGCCCCAGAGTCTGGGCCCTATTTCAGTGTTGCTCCTCATTATTGAGCTTGAGGCAGAGGCCAAGAATTTTTGCTTTATCCAGGGAAGGAAGCAAGAAACACTTGAACCCTAACAGAGGGAGCTAAGGTCAAAATCAGGTTCGTGAAGATTGGAAAGTCAGTTACTTCTTTTCCTTTCCAGTTACAAAAGCTCTGATATATCATTAAAGTGGAAAAACGTATTCATTTTTTTCTTTATTAGAGCTCCTGACACCCCCCCCCAAAAAAAAAAAAAAAACCAACCAGTTCTGTTCTTTGCACGTGGTGAGGCCTGGAAGTTACAAAAAACCCCACCTCCAGTTTTCTGGCCCCCGCAGGGGGGAAGGAGTTCATTTCTGTCATCTTTCTTTATGAAAGTACATGGTTTGGAGCCCCTGATTTTGTTTCACAAAGAGAGCGTGAGTGTGTGGAGGTGGATTTGATTAAAATTGGCATCAGCTATATATAGGAGTGGCTTCTTCTATCACCACCCTGGAGGCCCAGGAGGGAAGGACCTACCTCTACTCTCCCAAGTATAGGCCCTCTGACTTCTGAATGTCAGAAAATGATGAATGCCTATCCCATTTACCAGGCCAGCTGGAATGTATTTGGTCACTGCACTGGGGAAAGGACTTGGACACTGAGTATTCACAGGCACGGACTCACACTCCCCCTGCATAGCACTCGAGCGGAAACTGGCTGATGTTTTGAGGCTGGATTTGGGTGGATGTGGAATAGTGCACAGCTGGCTCATCTGATGCTGAGGCAAATTGGTGGCAAATTGGCAGCAAATTGGCAGAGCCAGTTCTGCTCCAGCATCCCTTTCTGCTTTCCTCCTCTACCTTGCCTCCCAGCCATGAGAGGGCCATGATGAGCTGAACCATTGCCTTATGTCTTCTCTCTACCTGGTTTTGGTTTCTTTTTGTTGTTTTGGGGGAAAGTCCTAGCAAGGGCTTAGTTTGAAGGGACCTAACAGGAGTATGGTGAGCAAGCATGACCCCCACACACAAACACCCCCATTGTTTTTATTTTTCCAGCTATTCCGTGAAGTGAGAATAATGAAGGTTTTGAATCATCCCAACATAGGTGAGAAGAATTATCTTTCCTTCCTTTTTCCCCCACAGCAAGGCTCCACTTGCCAGGACGAGTCCTTCTCCCCAGGAACATTGCTCTCTGGAGTCTGTCCCAGAGGGTGCCAAGTATGCCTCTAGGGGAGCTCAGTTTAAAGTCCAGCTCTACCCTAGCACCCTGGGCTTAGTAGTTGGTTGATATGAGAGGAGCTTGTCTTAGATGAGGAGAGTGTGAAACTGAAACCATTAATCCCTAGTGGTATCCCTGGACATGTTGGGCTCTACAGGTGTCCCCTACTCCTGTCTGAGGCTGGGGGTTGACCTTTTCTCTTGCAGTTAAGTTATTTGAGGTGATTGAGACTGAGAAGACACTCTACCTTGTCATGGAGTATGCCAGTGGGGGTAGGTTACACCAGTGGTGGTAGGTATGGAGCTGCCTCTTTCTGTTGTGCCCCTGCCTCTCCTAGCCCCAGCTAGCTCTTACTGTGCTCCTGCCATCTCTTGCAGGAGAAGTATTTGATTACCTAGTGGCTCATGGCAGGATGAAAGAAAAAGAGGCTCGAGCCAAATTCCGCCAGGTGGGTGTGCCCCTGTCCATGGGTCCAGGCCACCTTTGCCTTTTGGGGGTTGGCACAGGAGGAGCTGCCTGAGCAAGTGGCCTTAAGAGGGTAACTTTGGGCTCTAATTTTTTTATGGGCGACTTAGAACTAGATCATGGGGTCACAGCTCCACAAGCCCAGCTTACCCACCATCCTGGGATAACCCTTCTTCCTTCCTTTCAGATAGTGTCTGCTGTGCAGTACTGTCACCAGAAGTTTATTGTTCACAGAGACCTAAAGGTAAGGCATGTTCTTACCTCCTATACCTTTTGGGGGGGGCTGGTTGTTTTCTCTCAGGCCTCCATGGTAGAGCCTCAGTAGCCATCAAACCCTGAAAGTTCAGGAAACTCCAGTCTTTGGTCTTTTTGAGATGATCAGGAAACTCCTAGGAATGCTTCTGATAGAGGCCTGTGCCTGTACTCTGTCTCTCACCACAGTGCCAGCAAAAGGGGGAGGGAGGGATCTCTGCCTTTTCCATGCTGCCAGGAACACTTCAGGCTTTCCTGATCCTATAGGTGGCCTAGTGGCTGGTCAAGTAAAGAATGTGAGTGTGTCATAGATGTTTTGCAGGCACATATGCACACACAGATACACCGTCTCTATTATTGAGGTAGTCCAGTTTGAGACTACCTGTGAATCTCCTGGCTAAGTCCTTGCAGACATGAATGTGTAGCCTGGGCCTGACCCTGTAACTTTGCATAGCTCCCAGGGTCTCTGGACCTGTAGATCCTAGCTTTTCCATGGCTTTCTTTGTGAGGATGCCCTTCATGCCTTCCTCTTGCCCACATTGTTCATACTGATTGAATCCTGCCCTGGAGTTGGAGAAGATATCTGAGGCTGAAGATAACTTTTCATTTGTTCTGCCATCCCCTCAGCTCCTTCTGCCCAGTACCTCATCGTGGTCTACTTTGGGTCTTGATATTTTCCACTTTATCTTCCAGGCAGAAAACCTGCTCTTAGATGCTGATATGAACATCAAGATTGCAGACTTTGGATTTAGCAATGAATTCACCTTTGGGAACAAGTTGGATACCTTCTGTGGCAGTCCCCCTTATGCTGCCCCAGAACTCTTCCAGGGCAAAAAATACGATGGACCTGAGGTGGATGTGTGGAGCCTGGGAGTCATCCTCTATACACTGGTCAGCGGATCCCTGCCTTTTGACGGACAGAACCTCAAGGTGGAGTAAAGTGCAGGCTTAAGACTTAGATCATTTTACTACTTCTCATTTCCTCTCAGCCTCTGGTCTTGTGTTTACCCTCTCACTTTTGGCACCTGTCAACTTTTCCCAAGCCAGAGCTTCAGAGAAAGACTTGCTGAGTTAGCAGCAGTTAAAAGGTTTTCCATGCTGCATATGGTGGTGTACCACTTGCATCTGTAATCCCAGCACTTGGGAGGCTGAGGCAGGAAGATCAGGAGCTCAAAGCAAACCAAGGCCACCTAGTGAGACCCTGTCTCAAAAAAGAAAGGTCTCCCACATGTAGGAATTAGTAACCTCAGATCTCAATTCCTGTGTTGAGAGATGGGAGAAATTGTTAACATCTACTTAGTCAGTCTTTACCTCTCAGGATCTTGAATGTTAGGTTTCTTACCTTGACCTTGGGGTGATGTAAATTTCCTAACCACAGGAGCTACGGGAGCGAGTTCTAAGGGGGAAATACCGGATCCCATTCTACATGTCCACAGACTGTGAAAATCTGCTTAAGAAATTTCTCATTCTTAATCCCAGCAAGAGAGGCACTTTAGAGGTGAGAGCCTGGAGCCAAGCTGACCTCAGGTGCTGGGGTTCCCGACGGGAACCTACAGGCTGAGTTTCTTCCCCTCTGCCCTTTTCCCTCCCCTTGCTATCCAGCAAATCATGAAGGACCGGTGGATGAACGTGGGGCATGAAGATGATGAACTGAAGCCTTATGTGGAGCCACTCCCTGACTATAAGGACCCCCGACGGACAGGTGAGCTGTGCTGGCTTGGAGCTTGAGCCTACCCATGAGTCAAGACCAACCTTAAAACTGTGTGTCCCCTTCCCTCTCCTCCTACAGAGTTGATGGTGTCCATGGGTTACACACGGGAAGAGATTCAGGACTCACTGGTGGGCCAGAGGTACAACGAGGTGATGGCCACCTATCTGCTCCTGGGCTACAAGAGCTCTGAGGTGCGTGCTCCTTGTCACCATTCCCTGACCTGGCCACCCTTGCTGTGGGTAGCACCCAGTCTCTAGCACCAGCTGAAGACAGAAGCCCATTTCCAAGTAGGTGTGCCCTCTACTGACCAGCGTGATGCCTCAACCATGCTGTCTAAAGCCTTTAACTGGTCTCCCTCAGTTAATGAGTAAGAAACGGGGGGGCCTGGGCCCAGGGCCATACTCCTTGCGGGTTAGTTGAGCTAGCATGCTCAGTGTTGATTAGAATGGGCCGAGATCATCTGGCTGGCAGTTCTATATTGGTCTAGGTATCTGTGTCTCTCTTTGGCTGTGGTATCATCTCTGGCTTTGAATGTGTCTGTCTTATAGGAAGCTTCATTCTGTGTGTTGCCTCTTCCTGGTGCTTGTGTCTGGGTGGGTGTTTCCATGTGCACATATGTCTGTCCTGGGGGAATCTGGAGGCTTTATGATTGTTTTGCCCATTTGGGTTTGGTTCATCATCTGTGAGTGTCCACATACACTCACAGCCTCCCTCCCTACTCTTCCATGCAGAGGTGGGGAGGGAAGGGAGTCCCCTCTTGGTTCTCACGTCAACCTATTTCTGAGGTGCCTAGTGGCACTTGGTATGGGTTCATATTGCTCTGGGGAAGGGGGTAAGTCTCTTGAGTCTGAATGTGTACGTTCTTGTGGGTATTTGTGTCTCTGGGTATTTGGGCATGTGTTTCCCTTTCTGAGGATGGGTGTCTTTCTGGGACATGTCTTTGGCTGATTGTCCTTGACTGTGTCAGGGTATGAGTATCTTCAGGGTCAGGGGATATATTTAGGTATATATTAGTCTTATAGGGTGATGTCTGGTGAGCCTGGAACATGTGCTTGTCAGGGTGGGGCAGCGTGTGTCAGTGTATCCTTCTAACTTCCTCTTTCCCTTGGTGCCTTGTTTCCTTTCTTGTAGCTGGAAGGTGACACCATCACCTTGAAGCCTCGGCCTTCTGCTGATCTGACCAACAGCAGTGCCCCATCCCCATCCCACAAGGTACAGCGCAGCGTCTCCGCCAACCCCAAGCAGCGGCGCTTCAGCGACCAGGGTATGTGCTTTTGGGAGCCATAGGTGGTGACCACCTCTCTCCAGAACTGTCCTAGGTTCTGGGGGCTGTGGGTGACAGCTGAGTTTCAATCCTGGTTCAGCCATTTATTAATAGCATGGCATGGGCAGCTCACCATCTTCCTTCCACCACTTTGAAACTGGGGTATAATGATAGGAGAGCACCAAGCATGATAGTGGGTGTTCAGCAGACACCCAGCCTTACCCATCCCACCTCTGACCCCACAGCCGGCCCTGCCATTCCCACCTCTAATTCCTACTCTAAGAAGACTCAGAGTAACAATGCCGAAAATAAACGGCCTGAGGAGGACCGGGAGGCAGGACGGAAGGCCAGCAGCACCGCCAAAGTGCCTGCCAGTCCCCTGCCGGGCCTGGAGAGGAAGAAAACCACCCCTACCCCATCCACGGTGAGCATGGCCCTGACCCAGCTCCAGACATCTCCTTTCTTAATCCAGACCCCAGCCCTCTGCCTGCCACTTTGGCTTACTATGGAAAGCCTAGCATGCTCCCTTTGCCCATCCCCTCACCCCCCAGGAAGAGCAGAGTCCTGTTCCAAGCCTGCCACTGTCTGCTTGAGGGGGAGAGGAAGGGAAGGCTGTCTGGCCCCAAGGCAGAACCTGACTGGAGAACACGAGGCTCCCTATGAGACAGCTCTTGCCCTTCAATCCCCACAGAACAGTGTCCTCTCCACCAGCACAAACCGAAGCAGGAATTCCCCACTTTTGGAGAGGGCCAGCCTCGGCCAGGCAACCATCCAAAATGGCAAAGACAGGTGAGTTAACCAGACCACCTGCCATGCTTTCAGCACCTCTCACAGTGGGACAATGATGTCTGTCAGTAGCACCATCTCTTGTTCTGCCAGAGCACTGCCCCTGTTCCCTGGAGTCCCGTCCTAGCTCTGTTCAGTCTGGCTATCCACCTTGCCGCCCTGCTCCATGCCATCCTTCCTCCCTGTCCTCCTGACTACTCCTTGCTGTTTGCCAAGGGTGGGGCTCTAATGGGCATCCAGCAGCTTTCCTGCTTCTGGATACAAGCCAGGCCTGAGTTACTTTCCTCTCAGTGCCTGGGACTTTGTCTTTGCCCAGTCCAGGGCAAAACCAAGAGCTACCCATCTGAGGGGCTCCAGATGGAGAAGTTCCAGGCATGTCCACAAGAGCAGAGCTCCCAGCCTTGACTGCAGCCTTTTTTGGTGTGTCATGTTCCTGGTTCCACCTCTTCTGAGCTTAATCAAACTTTTCCCTTAGCAACACCCTGCTCTTTCTGTAGAAGAAACATCCTTGTTTTTAGAATTCCTAGGAGATCAATGTGGCCCAGAGGCAGTGGCCTCTTTATCAGCTACCTCTCCTTTGTGTTTTACTCTTCCTGGGCTCTGGCCTACCTGGCTGCTTCCTTCCCATCCTGCCCTCCACTTCCCATCCCTGTCCAGCCTCAGCCCTGACTTGCTCCCTAGGCCCTATCTGATCCTAGTAATGTTCTCAACTCTGGCTCTGGCCCCGCCCTTGCTTCTTAACCCAGGCATCTGCCTTACCCACCCCCTAACCTGGGCCTCTCCGCTGCTTTTGTCTCCTAGCCTAACCATGCCAGGGTCCCGGGCCTCCACGGCTTCTGCTTCTGCCGCAGTCTCTGCGGCCCGGCCCCGCCAGCACCAGAAATCCATGTCGGCCTCCGTGCACCCCAACAAGGCCTCTGGGCTGCCCCCCACGGAGAGTAACTGTGAGGTGCCACGGCCCAGGCAAGTGTGCTGGGGCAGTTGGTGCACCTGCTGTCCTCAGCCTGCCCTCCCCTGCCCCTGCAAGCTCTTCCCACCTGGGGGGCCTGCTCTGATCTTGTCATCTAAGCCACAAAGAGTGGCTCTTAGCCCCTGCAGCCAGCAAGTGGAAGGCACAAAAAATGGCATTAATGCCCTTCTTTTCCTCCAATTCTCACTCTCAGAACAGGTATGCAGGAAGCTGTCCTGAAGCTCCAAAGGGAAGTCTTTTTGTTCCGAACCTTCCTGGATTTCCTTAGGGGCCCTCAGTTCTTGAGGATTGGTCCCCATTGTCCTCTTGAGGGTCCAGGGAGTCAGCTCTCTCCAGCCTATACTGCTCTCACATGGGTCCTTCCTTGTCTCCCTCGCTCCCTCCCTCCCTAGACCATCTCCTCTGCCTCCAAAAGACTCCTCACTGCTGTCCTCGGTGGTCACTCCCCTTCCTTCTGTGTCCTGTGATGGCTTCCTCTGCCTTAGCATACCCTCTCCCTGTCCCCACCACAGGGTGTTTCAGTTGCTCGGTGGTGATGACTTCCCTGCACCTGATATGTCCCCTCGCCCCTACCTCTTTTCCTACAGCACAGCCCCCCAGCGTGTCCCTGTCGCCTCCCCCTCCGCCCACAACATCAGCAGCAGTGGTGGAGCCCCAGACAGAACTAATTTCCCCCGGGGTGTGTCCAGTCGAAGTACCTTCCACGCTGGGCAGCTCCGACAGGTGCGGGACCAGCAGAATTTGCCCTATGGTGTGACCCCAGCCTCTCCCTCTGGCCACAGCCAGGGCCGGCGGGGGGCCTCGGGAAGCATCTTCAGCAAGTTCACTTCCAAGTTTGTTCGCAGGTGAGCAGAAAGCTAGTGTGGCAGAGAGGCTGGCATCAGGCCTTCCTGCTTGCTGGGGTTGGGGGTGGGGATAGGAACTGGGACTGGGTCCTGAGGTTAGAAGAGTCCTCAGGAAGGCTAAGAAATTGGGTCGTCAACACCTTACATGCCAAGATCCATCCTCTTAGGCTTCTCCCCAACTCCTCACAGGCACCCCTCATTCTCTGGCCCCAAGCAGATGGGTGATGCCGCCTCCTCTCTAGGGGAGTGTGAACTCAGATGCTAAAATAAAAGCCCCCCCTCTTCTCTCCTGGGTTCCCATGGAAACTTATATTTGGTGACGCAGCTGCAAAGTCATGAGGCATGAGCCAGGCTGGGCCAACAAGAAAAATTTTTCTTAGGCTCTTGTCTTGCCCTCTTTGACCTCCTGTCCCCACCCAGTTGGTTATGTCTGACTGCAGTCATGTTCTTCCACCCAAGGATTCTCAGGCTGAAGCCCATAAATGAAATAGCTGAGCAGAACCCTTGGTGGCCTCCCCTTCAGCCCCAGTGCTCCAGTGCCTTCCAGGTTGGACCCAGGCGGGGAGTCTTAATGAGATTCTCACTCCTGAGCTACCACCATCACCACAGAAGGTGGTTGAAGATGTATCCAGCCATTTGGCCTCTTGGGCTGCTGTGTCCCCATCACACCCATCCTCTGCTCACTTGGAGTGACAGCCTTGCCTGCCCTCCTGCATGTCCCTCCAGTCAGCTGCAGCAGCTAAAGCCACTGTCCATCCAAGCCGCAGGGTGCAGCTGTGAGAGCTGCAGAGGTGGGAGTAGACCTGAAGTCCAGCACTCTAGTCTCGCTGAGCGGCTCTTCCAAAACTGGGGCCACCCTTGAACCTGGACAGCCCACTCCCACCTGCTTATCCACATACCGTCTTGTTGGTTTTTTTTTTTTATTTCTTTTTTTATTTTGTCTTTTTTTGTTTGTTTTTTTTAGAAATCTGTCTTTCAGGTTTGCCAGAAGGTAGGCGTTGAGCCCACTGTGTGTGTGTGTGTATGTGTGTATATGTATGTCTGCCCTGTGTCTATGTCCTGCCTCTGTTACTAACTCCCCTCCTCTGGCTCTGCTCCCTCTCCATCTGCTGACCTAATCTGTGTGGCCCTCCTCTCTGCCATCTTAAAGGGATGAAGACTGCTCTGCTGGGCTTCAGCCCACATTGACCTCCTGCCCCTCTACCCCGGCAGGGCATGGCCCCCTAAGAGGCCACTTTGGGCCAACTCAGAGCAAATGGCTTTGAACATGATGGGCCTTGTTCAGGCCACAGACAAGAGGAGACCTCAGGGACTCTCCCTTTAAGATTGTCTCCTCTTACCCACTCCAGGTTTTGGTCACAAGCATTGGGCTCCTTCTCTGGTCCTTTCCCTTGTCGTGTGCATGCGCTACAAGGAGGCTCCACTGGGTTAAAGTGCATCTGGGATGGTGTCTCATTTGGGTTCTCCTGGGCTGTGTGACCTCTTCCCCCGGCCTATAGGATGGCAGAACTTTGGAGGCACTACAGGAACATCAGGGTCCCCAGGCTAAGTCATTCTTCCAGGCCCAGGGAGCCTTTGCTTCATGATGGGGCACAGCACCCCCTTCTGGCAGCTCCTGTGGAAAAGGTCCAGCCCACCCTGCCCCAGTATCCCACCTGCAACAGCATCTGGATGGTCACACTGCCTCTCCTCTGGGCTGTTTCCTCCAGATGTGGCCTGTGCCTGCCAAACAGCCCAGAGTTGGATATTCTCAGGCAGAGGCCGTTCTGCTTCCAAACCCTGGTGGAACAACAGGAGGTCCACACCATCACTAAGACATCTCCTTTCTGGGGCCAGAGCCTGACTCTAGCCATATCCTTATGCAGTCCTGTGTGGGCTAAATACCGAGCTGCAGACCAAGGGCCAAGTTGGATTCATTGGGTTGCCTGGCAGGTGCATTGGTGCCCAACTGAGGGAGAGACTGGCCAGATGGGATGGATCTTAAGTCTCCCTCCCAGTCCCCTAGCTCACTGCATGGCTGGCAGAGCCTGTCTTGCAGGGGCCTGGAGAGAGCAGCCAGAGCTCGTTTCTTTGCACAACCAGCCCCTGCTTGCAGTGCGCTTGTTGGCATCTGTGTGTTTGTGTGTCTTTGTGTTCTTTTATATGTGCTGCTGCTGCTCTCTCCCTCCTCTCATCCCTCCCTCCTTCTACAGTCCCCAGGTTCCCAGCTCCAGGCACCCATCTTCCGGGCAGGAGCTGGAGAAGCCGCTCAGCGGGGCCAGACCTCTTTCCCACCCCACAAGGTGTCTGCCCAGTCCCAGTCCCCCTCTTACACCAGTAGGTGACCTAGCAGGCCAGCAGTATGGGAGTTAGAAACACAGCAACTTTTCCCACTTTGCCACAGGTGTCCATCCCATCTCCTGGGGTCTGCCATACATGTCCAGATCTTGGCATTTTGAGCTTCTTGAGAGAGGTGTCTGAATGCCCCAGCCCCTCCCTCTAGGAGGACTTTGTTCTGAAACTGGTATATTGGCCAGAGTGAGGACCCGCTCCTATCCCTCACTCCAGTAGAGAGCATGAACCTGGCCATGAGCAGCACGGAGAGCACAGCCACACCCTCCTCCCACAGAGCAGAGTCTTTCTCCCAGCACAGAATTGTAGGAGTGTGGGGAGGGATAGGCTCCTTGTGTGGGGCTCCCTGTGACAGAGGCAGTCAAGCTGCCAGTGTGAGGTACTGCAGAGCCATGTTGGCCTGCAGGTGATGGGCAAGCAGCCTTTCGGCTTGAGTCTTGCCCACCCACTGGTGGCACCTCCCCAGACCCTCCATCACCTGGGTCTGCAGTGGTGGAAGGAGCGAGAGATCCCAGCACTAAACTCTCCCTCGCTCTGTTTTTTGAGGAACCTGAATGAACCTGAAAGCAAAGACCGAGTGGAGACGCTCAGGTGAGAGGGCCGGAGCCAGCACTGGCCCTGCCCAGGCCACCGGGCTTGCCACAAGCCTCCTGCTCCTCTTCCTTCTGCCATTTGGTTCTTTCTCCAGTGGTTCTGCCCTGCCCCTACCCTCTTGGGGCTTCCCTTTCCTCAAAGAATTTCCCTTTTCTAGACCCACCTGGGCCCTTCTCAGATTCTGGTATATTCTGGAAGTTGGAGCCCTGGGTTGGGCGGTTGGGGCTAGACATTCCTACTATCCTGACTGCCTTGCCTCTGTGCCTCAGATTTTTCCTGCGAGGACAGTCTGCACGGTGTGCTGTTGAGTGCACTCATTTCCTGCCCCCTCCCCCCAAGAAAAGAACCAATAGCAGCATGGAATCATCACCCCATCCCAGCTGGCCTCTGCACCTTCCATCCTGTCAGATGATGGCCAGAGAGCTGCCCACCCATCACCCCCACAGACCCTTGGATCAGGGTCTAACCATTCCCTGTTCTGGCTTATTGCTCAGTGCTCCCTCCTGCTGTCCTCTCTGGTCTCAGGGTCCGTCTGCCAGGGTGGCTCTCTGGCGGGTAGGGTGCCTCAACCCCTGCCTGATGCCCACCTCTGCCCTCTCTACAGACCTCATGTGGTAGGCAGTGGAGGCAATGACAAAGAAAAGGAAGAATTTCGGGAGGCCAAGCCACGCTCGCTACGTTTCACATGGAGCATGAAGACCACAAGCTCCATGGAGCCTAATGAGATGATGCGGGAGATCCGCAAGGTGCTGGACGCAAACAGCTGCCAGAGCGAGCTACACGAGAAGTACATGCTGCTGTGTATGCACGGCACTCCAGGCCATGAGAACTTCGTGCAGTGGGAGATGGAGGTGTGCAAACTGCCTCGGCTGTCTCTCAATGGTGTTCGGTTTAAGCGAATATCAGGCACCTCCATGGCCTTCAAAAACATTGCCTCCAAAATAGCCAATGAGCTGAAGCTTTAACAAGCTGCCAGGAGGGGAGCAGCAGAGACCAGCCAGCGGACTTGGCTGCTGGAGCTGACCCTGCACCCCACCTGCAGGATGGATTGGTGTGTCTCCCCTGCTGGCACTTGTCCCCTCCCAGGCCCTTCCTGGTTTTTTTCTTCCATGTTTGTGGGGGATGGGAGAAAGTTCTTCCCCCCTCACATTCACTCCTGCCCAGAAATTCCCTCTTCCCCTCTCTCCCCCTCAGGAGGCAAAAGAAGGGGAGGGGGTGAGGGGGGCAGGGCTCCCTCAAGGTACTGCGGTTGCACAGAGTATTTCGCCTAAACCAAGAAATTTTTTATTACCAAAAAGAAAAAAGAAAAAAAAAATCCCAGCGGCCACCTTTCCTCCCTTGCCCCATTGGGACAGTTGAGACTGGATCTGTGGGGTTTCCCGGGAGGGTGGCTCAGGGCTGGAACACTCTCAGGCAAGAGTGGTGGAGTTCCCTGGCAGGCCCTCCGCCAGGCCCACTTTGGGCTTCTCCCCTCTCCTCTCCTCTTTACCCTTCAAGCAACCCACCAGAGGTGGCCTTCCCCTGCCCTCAGGCCCTGGGCTGCAGGCCTGGGACCTGGGGCCGGTGGGGGGTGCTGTGCAGCCCTGGAGAGAGCAGGGTGCAGCAGTGGGGCCCTGGCCTCCCTCCACACTGTATCTTCTGCCCCTCCTTCCCCAGAGCTGGGCATTTCCTTCCATGAGCTGCTGTGGGGACATTTGTTCCTCTCCTCAAAAGTATGTGCCATCTTCTCCTGCCCTTCTGGTAGAAGGTGGGGCTGACCCCTGGGCTAGGAAGGGGAGGGGACTGCAGCACTGATGGGCTCCTTGCCCTCAGGGGGCCGAATGGGCTGCCAGTCTCCTGAACTGGGCTTCTCCGTTCTGGGAGAGCCTTTGTCTGAAAGCACAGCCTCTCGCCATCCCCCTCCCACTGCTTCCCCTTCATTGGCATTAATCTGGGCACCAGCTCGGTCTGTAGCAGACTTCCCACACCACTCTCATCTCGGCCTTGCCTTTTCTTCCTGACACTGTCGCCCCTCCTCTCAGGAGACTGCCCAGGGCCTCCATGGCCACCTGGCGGAAGGCTGGATTGGGCGGCAGGGCTGGGAGCATCTGCCCTCCACAGGAGTGGGGGACAGATGGGTGAAGTGACTCCCCGCTTGCTAACCTCTGCGGCCAGTGTGGGAGTGGGTGGCTACAGGCACTTGACTGGTGGCGGCCACTGCATCCCTTAATTTATTTCTCTGCTGTTTCAGTTCTTGAGAAATTGGGGGAGTCCTACAGAGGCTGCCCCTCCCCTCACCTTAGTTGTACATTTTTTTTTTTGTGATGGGTTTTATTTTTTATTATTTTATTTTATTATTTTTTTTTTTTTTGATTTATGATGACTCTATCCCTGTTCATCACCCAGGCCAGGCTCAGCCAGATGTGGAGTCCTTGGGTCCCGGGAAGGGGCCTTGCCAACCTCAGCCCTTTAGCCAGCCCCATGCTCTGCCTGGTTCCGGCTCAGACCAAGGGCTCTCCCCTCCCCCTTCCTGCCCTATGGAACAGCCCGGGTGCTCTGAGGGGCCGGGAGGGCATGGCTTGGCTCCTGAAAGGGGTGGGGCCAGGGGCACCCAGGCAAGGTGGCCCCTCCCCACCTAGCCCCCTCTTCCCCCACCCTGCACTTAGTTTCTCCTCTGGATCAAACACGTAATAAAGAGAATGTTTGGAATCTGAGCTGCCGCCTCCTGTTTCTTCTCCCAGCCCAGAAGGGACCCAGTCTCTCTTGGGCAAGATGTGGCCCAGTCTGCCTGCCTTGAAGGGGAGGACTGATGCCTGTCTGGAGCCTGGGGGGCAGGCCAGTGCTGGGTGGGCTAACTCCCTTCCCACTTAGAGCACAGACAGGAAAGGGAAAGACAACTCAGTTTAAGAGGTTGTATTATTTATTAAAAATGTTGAAAAATAAACCCATGTATGCATTAAGTTCCCAATACCCCCCCCTTTCTCCAAGCTTTTTTTTCTGGGTGGGGGGGAGCAAAGTGAGCATCCTCATAACTTCTCAGCATTCCCTGAAGACAGTGTCCCTTTGCAGCATCTGCTAATGTCAGGCCCCAAGGAATCTCTGCCCCCACCTTCCCTCCAGCCCCCTCCCCACCTCACCCCAGACTTATTGCTCAAAGGAGGGCAAGGTGAATGAGGTCAGCCAATACCCCAAACTGTCCTTTTCCACACTGAACACTAAGGTCACTACCCTTTACACACAAAGGGCAGGCCAAAAGGCCAAGCACCCCACAGGCAGGGGAAGCAGCCATTCCAGTCCCAGCCAGGAAGCAGAGTCCCCTTGAGCCATCTTGAAAGGACCCCAGACCCCAGTCCCTGGCTGGGGGGTTACCAGGCTCAGCTGCCAGGACACACGCAGAACCCACAGGTCCCTGCTGTGTCAACTGGCAGCTCTGGGTCTCTGAAAGACCTGGAAAGAGCCCCAATTCCTTCTGTCCTCAATGACACTAGAGATGTCCAGCAGAGGGGTCCAGGAGTCTTCAGGTGGGGTGGAGGACTCAGGACTCAGAGTGAGGGTGCTGGAGGCTCCAGAGGGGCTCCAATCAGAGTTGGTGGGGGTTGAGAGCCAGGGCGGGCACTGTGGCGGGAGGCAGCCAGAGCTGGGCGGATGAGAGGTGGTGGGGGCTGGTTGGGGGCCAGCCGGGGCTGCAGGAAACGGCCCTGCTGGAGTGGGGGTGGCTGGCGGAGCAGAGTGGGAGCCGTAGGCAGGGGTGGCCTCAGCAATGGAGGTGGCTGGGATAGGGAGGTGGGTGGTAGAGGGGGTGGTGGCGCAGGGGGTACTGATCGGGGCACAGATGTTGAGACAGATGTGATCTGGACCTGAGGGAGAAAACGGAGTGAGAAAGCTGCTCTTGTAACAGTGACAGTGCCTCCCAGCCCTCTTCTCACACGCCTTTCTCACCTCATCATCTTCCTCTAGAGTTGGAGCTGGCACAGGAGCCCCTCGCCTGGCCTCCTCCATGGGCACTGGGGCTGCAGGGGCCCCATCCTGTTCAGCCTCCCATTCCTGCAGCACTTCCTCCAGGTTGAAGCGGCGTCGGTAGCTCACAAAGAAGGTCTTCACCTGGGTCAGAGTCTTGTTCCCAATCACCTCTGCAATAGCCCCAAAGTCTTTGCCATATCTACGGATGGCTGCAAGGGTCAAAATGGCAGCAGAGTGTAAAAGCCCCTCACAGCTAATTACTTCCCTGACCCTTCCCCTCTACCCTCAGCTTGTTGAGGTCCTTGGCTCTTCCCAAGGCCTAACTCACCTTGTACAGCCAAAAGTTGTTCATCTGTAGTCCAGCGGGAGTTGAACTTGGTATTGGCCTAGAGAAAGAAACAGAAATAATCTTTAGATTCAAAAATACAGAAATGAAAACCCTGCTCCAGACAGACCCCTTTCTGTTCTACCTCGAGAGAGAGAACCCCCTTTTGCACCCATACTTGGCAGAGCAGCCTTACCTCAGGGGGGCGGAGTGGGTCAATGCCACCTTCCAGGGCTTGGCGCAGGCTGCTATTGGTCTGTTTCATGCTCTGTACCTGGGAAGGCCAGAAGTGATATCTAATTCCATCCCAGGGAAGCCACCATCCCCCACTCTCACCAGGGCCCTACTTCTCCAGACACCAGAACCAAAAAGCTCTCTGCTACTGACATCCAATTCATCCCTCTCTTTGGTAAGAGAACACTGTGGTTCCACAGACGACTTTCTTAAGCAGGTCCAGAAAAGAATGCTAAGTGACCCTGAGTCCCAGTGGGGTGGATCCAGGCTTGGCACCTACACCATCATCCTTATCCCAAACCTACCCCAAAAACGGTTCCCAAAAACTGATGCCCTCCCCTCCCCCTGCCTCTTTTCTTAGGCTCCCACCTGGCGCTTGAGGGAGATGAGCTGAGAGTCAAGACCTCTGAGTGTGAGGTTGGCGAGGTCTGGACTTCCAGACACTGCAGTGAGGCCCTCAGGGCTCAGGTACATGCCCTTGGGTGGGCGTCGCCGGGTTCGTAGTGGGTGATGGCGGTACTGTGACACCTGGATCTCCTTCTTCCCAGGGCCAGGGCGTGCATTCAGGGGCCGAGAGGGCAGAGGCTGTAGGGAAAGGAGAGGGGGTAGGTGGTACAGAGCCCAAAGACAGATGCGGGGGAGCACAGAGGACTAGCTCAGAGACTTCACCTCTTTCTTGGGATCTCCAGCATCTGGTTCTCCCTCACTCACAGCTCCTCGTCCCTCTTCAAGCTCATCACTGCTGACACAGGAGCCAGGGAGGGAATGAGGCACAAGCTAGGAATACTGCTTGCCCCGCCCAGCACTGACCCACGCCCCCACCTGTCTTCTTTGTCCTTGCGGCCACCCAGCCGCCGTGCCTGTCTGTCCATCACACTAGTTCGGCTTCGGGTCTTCTTCCAAGAATAGTAATACTTCACCAGGCTGGGAATCAGCTTGTCGGGCAGCTGGGGAGGCAAGGCCACAAGTGGGGGCCCACCTGAGACTCAGCACCAAATAAGCTGGTCAGGACAGAGGGGCTGAAGAGCACTGGGGGCTGGTGGGGGGACGGGGCTTACCATCTGCTGGATCCGCTGGAAGCACTTGCCGTGGAAGCCGAAGGCTTGCTCAAACAGCACCTTGTCCTCGACTGTCCACTCATCGGGGAATGGAGTGAAGTTGGCCAAGTCAGCCAGTGACTTCTCCACATCGTGTTTATGCCACAAAAGCATGCCCAGTGCCTGGCCCGGGAGAAAGGGCAACTCAGGTTTGGCCACCCTGCACCATCCCATTCCAGTCCCTCAGGGCTCCAGCTTACCTGCTCGATGTTGTAGCCATGCTTTTCCTTGGCCATCGCAATGTACTTGTCAACTGCAGTGGGGGAGCGGGGATTTGGGTGAGGGGATTACAGCTTCTAATCCAGGCCTGTCCAGAGGGGTACTCCATCCCCAGGGGGTGAGGCTCCTGAACCTGAGCCCCATGGCAGGAGGCTGGTCTTAAGCTCCTAGGCTCAAGCTATCCTCCCACCTCAGCATCCCGAGTATCTGGGACTACAGGCCCGGCTTCCAGCCCACTTCTGAGAAGAGTCGTAACCCCCACCTCCCAGGGCTGAACCTGACCAGATGCCCATCCCACTCACGCTTGGCATCAGACACGCAGTGGTTGGGCGACCACACCAGCATCCCCTTCAGTTCCTTGTTACTGTAGCGGGCTGGACTCTCTGAAACATAGAGGAGCAGGAAGGAAGAACTCAGATCAACCTGGTGGTGCTAGTCTGGACCCAAGTCCACCAGGCAGCAGAGAAGTGGGGCCTGAGAGGTGAGGCCCAGAGGGGAAGGAGGAGCAGAGACCCAGACAGGAAGGCAGTGAAGGAAAAGTAACTATGCCATAGGGCCACCCAGCCCCCTCCTTCCCCTCTTCCCCCCAGCCCGCCTGTCCTTCAGGCAGAAGCCAGCTAAGGGCTCCCCAGGTGGGGCTACTAGCCAAGCCACTGGTCTCCACCCCCTCCCTTCACCGCCTGTCCTGCCACTCACCAGGCTTGCACTCCGGAATTACGGCCTGGTAATTGGTTCCAACACGGATCATGCTGTCTGTGGAGTCAGGGGGGAGGCAGTCAGGACTCCAGGGAGGGAGGGACAGTAGAGGATGTGTGTGTGTGTGTGTGTGTGTGTGTAAGGGTGGGGGGCGGGCTGGCCTGGACTTCTCCTTCCTGACCACCCAGGGCCTCCACCTCCCAGGAAGCTCACTTTTCCCTGATCTTCCTCCAGGCTACCCTTAGCCACAGAAGGGACTGGAAGGGGAGACCTTGCCTAGTCATGGGCTGGAGGGATAAGAGGGCAGTTTTAGAGCTCAGGCCAAAGCAATGCTTTGTTCTGGCTGGAGATGAGGGCTTGGAGGGCAGCCCCTAGACCTGGACCACAGCCCTGCAGGGAGTCCAAGGCTCCTCCCCACATGTGCCTCACATCTCAATGTGTCTCTCAACCCCTGCCCCTGCAAGGTGGCAAGGTATTCCAGGGACCCAATCTGTGGGAGGCACACCTAGCTGCCTCAAGCAACTGAGGGCAAGGAGGAGGCGGGCAGCAAGGGGCCCAGCCTCCAGATTCCCTGTGCCAGCAGTCCCAGGTTTGAGGGAGAAGCAAGGCAGAGGCTCCAAACCAGGATGGGCAGGAACCGATAGTATATTAGGCCGGTGATCCGCAACTCTATTCCCCGCACCCCACCCAACCCCGCCCCCCTTCACGCCCCCCCCCCGAGCCAGCGCGCCTTTAACCCTAGGCCGCCGGGCTCACCGTGCGAGTGCTCCTCTTCGCTGCTGTCATCCTCCGAGTGCGGCTGTCCGCCGTTGGGCGCCGTCTTGGCCCGGCTGCGGGACAGGATCCCCGAGCCCGCACTCGGCTTCTCCATCACCGAGGGCATTACCCCGTCCGCCTGCCCCGGGGGCTGGGGGGGAGGCGAGGGAGCCTTGGGAGAGCGCCGGTCGTTGCCGCGCTTGCCTCGAGTGTCGTGCCCGGCCCGGCCTGGAGAGGTCGCCACTGAAGCTACAAGAGGCAGGAGGTCAGCGTGGCTAGGGTCCGGCGGGTCTGGAGTCCAGCGAGCAGCCCTGGCTCTCACTGCGACCCCACGGGCGAGGGCGTCGGAAAAGTTTGTGAAGAAGTGGGGTACGCTGGGGATGAGCGCAAGGTCCAGCGCGACAGGAGCACGCTCGCTCTGTGCGGCCCTCGGGGTTGGGTCTCCCCCGGAGAAGTCGGGGCCCCTGCCCTCAGGGCGTCGCGGAGCTCCGCCACCCGCCTGCCCACGCCGTTTCAGCAGGCGAGTGCTGCAGCGCAATTTACGCTCCCCGTGGGCTCCGTGCCTCTTGGCTGCGCCAGGGATGCCCCAGTTCCCGAGCGGGGACCCCAGACCCGAGCAGACCCCTTGCCCGCGACGGCAGCAGACGGGACCCCGGTAGTGGCGGGACCCCGGTGGTGGCAGGACGGTGCGGTGCGCCGCGCGTGGCGCCTGGGGCAGAGTTGCCGGCAGGCGGGCGGAGCGCAGCAGCGGGCGCCGCCTCGCACCCTCCCCGGCGCGCTCGCTCTCCTCGCCGCGCTCGCGCTGCTGCTCGCTCGCCCGCTCTCCGCCGCCGCTCGCTCCTCGCGCACACAATGAAGCTGCTGGCAGGGAAGTAGTGCCGGCTGCGGCCTCAGCACCCCTCCCCCCAGCCGATGCCTCCGCCAGCTGAACATCTGGCCCTGGGGTGGGAGGGAGGGCCCGGGAGGCGGGGCCTGGGGGCCGGGGCTAGACCTCCAGGGGGTGGGGTCAGGACCAGGGTGGGGAGCGCGTCCCTCCGCCCGGGCCCCCTCGCGTCCCTGGTTCCCCAGACTTGCCCCTGGGGAGAACCCCACTGCCCTCCAGGAGTAGCCGCGGGTCAGCCCCACCCACGCGCACACCGGCCCCACACACCAGTGGGCTCGGGTTACTGCCGTCTGCCCCCGGGGGCCCAGAGGCCGCCTGCCCGCCCGCCCGGGTGGAGCCCAGCTTTTCCTTCCATTTCCCTTCCTGCCAAGGAACTCCCCGCCCCCCCTTCCGCAGGGGGGACCCCCCCTCCTTCATGCGCCCTTGGGGGCCAGAGCGGATGGGAGGCCGGACAGGCGAGGAATGAATTCCTCCTAGAGCTACTGGGCCAGAGCCTGACTTCTGGTGGGTCCCCAGAGGGTTACCCCAATTCGCCTTAACTGCTGCAGTGTACACCCCAAAACAGTGGAATCAAGGACTGAGGGATGAGAGTGCAAGGTATAGGGGAAGGCCTGAACTGCAGAGGGAGGGAGAAGTGGGTTTCCTCCCCACTGGGTTCATGTCACCCCAGCTGGAAGCAGCATCCCCCTCCCCCCGGACAAGCACGGGCAGAGTGACAGACAGAGAAGCGGGTAGGGAGGCACAGACGGAGATGGGGGAGGGGATGGGCAGAGACTTTCAAAGCCAGACCCAGCCACCCTGCCAGGCACACAAAGAGCCAGCGCACACACCGGCGGCGGCTCAGAGCCTGCGAGCTGCGCCGGTGCCTGTCCCCAACGCCCGGGGCACGTGCTGCAGCGCACACAGACCGAAGCCCCCGCCCTTCGTGAGCCCTGGACTCCTGGACACGCCTCCACCCGGGCACACCCCGCGGTGCCCAGATCGAGCCGAGCCTGCATTCGCGCCCTCCTCTCCCTTCCCTTCCTTGGCCACTCTGTAATCAGATTCCTAAATTTAGAAGCATCCCAGGACCCAGCCAGGGATCCCTGCCCCCACCTACTGCCTGCGGTCGACTGGCCAGGGTCCTGCGGTCAGGCCACGACCTGGCTGGGGCCGCCTATTCGTGGGGGCTCCTTGCGGGCAGCCTGGCCAAGTCAGGCACGACCCCACCCGACTGCTGTGCTGTTGCTGTCGGGCCACATAGGGCCACCCAGCCAGCGGCCACGTTGCCCGCCACACCTCGGGCCAAGGCTATGGGGCCTTTTTCCTCTTAAATCATGGATTGGGCACCAAGCCCCAGGGTGGGGAGGTCTGGACAAATGAGAATGAATGGACTAAGAGCCGGTGTGAGCTAGCGGGCTAGCGGGGGGGGGGGGGGTCTGCAGAGTCCTCCTAGCGACCCCTCCCAAGTGGAAGGGTGCCATCCCTGACCAACACACCTCCACCATTTAAGGAGGTGCTCATCTGTCTCCTCTGCCTGACTGGTAACTATTGTGCACTTCACCCTCTCCTACTATGGCGTCTTTCATCTCGTGGCGCCTATTAGGGAGGACTTTCAGTTGGGTCCCCATCCCCCTCTTCTAGCCTCCTTTCTGTACTCCCACCTAGGGTCCTGGGCCTGGCCAAGTCCCCACCCAAATCCTCTGCATCAGGCTTATTTCTTGCCTCCCTCCTCCAGCACTACCCCAGGTACCCCCTCAACTCCCCCGCACCCCACGGTTGCGCATGTACACACACACACACACACACACACACACACACACACACACCCAGCCAGCTCTGGTTGGCTTCCCTCCTGTCCCAAACACCCACCCCCAACCAGGACCTAATCTTGTTCTCTTTCTCTCTGCAGCCAGGCACTCGGGGCCAAGGAAGATCCTACTCCCAAGGTGGGGCAGGGAGAGGAGTTTTATTCCTCTGGATAGTGGAGTCCCTGGGCTCTGGTGTCCTGAGGATTCTGCCAAGGGGGTGGGACACACACTGGAGGGGCATCACAGGAGTTTGGGGACCACAGAGTTCAGAGAGGAGGCCCATTCTTAGTGAGCAACCTCCTTCCCAAGACAAGGGTGCAGAGTTGGGGGGGAGGGGCAAGGCCCCACCCCTCCCACCTGCTGCAGCAGCCCCCTCCCCAGCTGGCCCCCTCTTTTGTGCAAAGGCACACAAAGGACAAGGGGCCCCGGCCGGCCTGGCCATCTGCTCCCAGCAGCCTGAAGGCTCTTAAAGAGACAGCACCCCCTCCCTGCTACCCTGGGGCTGTGGGGTGCAGCTATGCCACAAGACAGGGTCATGGCAGCACCCCAGAACCCACTACCTTTTCCTGGCTCCCCAAGCCCCCAGGTTAGGAATCATCCTCCCCCAGACCTGGGGTGCAGAGATGCCATGTGGCCAGGTGCATGGGGTATGGGAGGGGAGAGGAGAGGGTGCCTGGGGACCAGCCTTTCTCTTCATCAGCCTGAGGCTTGGAAGCAGGCACAAGAACCCGGGTCACTCACCTCCCTGGGCCACCTGCAAGCTTGGCAAGAGCGCAGGTCTCCTGCAAATGCCCTCCCCGCCATTTTGACTGGTGAGTTCCTACTATTCACCAGGAGAGGGGACAACCACTACAGCGCCTTCTTCTTAGGTCTGCAGGCCAGGACACAGGCTACCTCTCCTCACAATAAATCCAGGCCTAAAATGGAATCCCAATCCAGCAAATTCATATCCTGTGTTCCCTCAGATGAGATGACTGAGGCTTTGCTCTGCCCCACACAGGCTTCTGCCTGAAGCCTTCCTTGCCTAGGCCATTAAAGATTCCTCCACCCTCAGGTCCCCAGAGACACAGACCACGGCCAGTCCAAAGCCACCCATAGTGATTAGCCACACCGCTCATGGACACAGATGTACTTGATTTGTGTCATTGTGTCACTGTGTTCACCAGTCATTCTCAGAGCCTGGCATACAGTAGGCGCTCGGTGTTTGTTGTGGGAATGAATATCAGGAGCCCACAGAGCCTTTCTCTTGGCTGGGCTCCTCTACGCTCCGCCTGCCAGGCATCTTGTTACCTCCCTCCTCAAGGTGAGGTAGAGGGACAAAGGTTGCACAGGGCTGCTGGGAAAGAAAAGGAGGGTGACCTTCGGTGAGCCACCAGCCTCCCCTCCTCCCAAAGGCGGGGGCAGTTCCAGCCAATCCCAAACCTGCCAGCCCTGCCAGACAGACTGGGACTGTCCTGAGCAGGGCTGGCCGCTGTGGTGTGGTGCCTGGGACCCCCGCCAGGCCCTGGGTAGCTTCAGCCAAGAGGATAAACTTGGGGAGGGAGGCAGCGGGCAGGTCTGGGGTGGAGGATGGAGGACCTGGGTGAATAGTTGGGGGGAAAGGGGTGCTAGAGGGAGATGGCTAGCAGTGGAAGGCGCTTGAGGAGTGCTCCTGGGGCCCCCTCAGTGCCGCTCAGGGGAATTTCATCCCTCCCTCCCACTGGGCCCTCCTGGAAGGATGTGTGCTGCACATCTCTGGGCCCTGCTGGTGATCCCCTGCCCTCCGGATCTCCCCCGCAACCCCCCCCCCCGCCCACCTGCAAAGAAAGAGGCTAAGAGGTAACAGAGGTGTCAATCCAGTGCTCGGCACAACCTGGGCCTTCTGGGAGTGGTGCTGGGGGAGCACAGAGCAGACGCAGGCGTGAGGTCAGCATCCACGGGAGTGGGAGTGGGAGTGGGAGAATCTGACTCCCCAGTCAAGCAGGAACAGGGAGGTAGTGTCCACAACTGTCTGGCTTCAGTTGACAGACAGGAAGGCCACATGGGGCCTCCCCAATTCCCTGAGGGGCAGCTTCAAGACCCAGGAACCCCTTCCTTTCTCCGGAAGCTAGGAAGGGGACCTCCCCCTTGGCCCTCACCTGGGCAACAGCTGCACCCTCTAGTGGTGAAATCATAGACCAAAGGGGTCCCACCTTACCCTGGGGTGCAAATGTCCTCCCGGGGAAGCATGGCACCCTGAGGAGCCCAAGTCGTTGGGGTAAATGCCTGGACCTTCGTCCCCTCTGGGCCATTGGAGCCACTAAGCCTTACATCTGTCCCCAGCAAGTCCTGCCCCAGAGCTACCCAAGACCTTCTAGAGCAGACTCCCATGCAGCAGAGGTCCCCAGAGACATGCCAGTGGAAGGCAGGCAGGCCAGGAGCTCAAATCTAGGGTGAGTCTCAACTCTGCTGCCACTTGCTGTGAGGCCTTAGGTGAGTTACTTGTCCTCTCTGAGCTTCTGTCCCTCCGTGTCTAAAAGAGAACTGTAATCCTCACCTCATTGATTTTGAGGAGGATCCAATGGCATTGCAGATGGAACAAGTAAGATGTATCAATGCTGGTTTCCTCCTGAAGCGGGGGTCCCCTCTTAAGCACCCCCAGCAGACCCTCTTGCTCATGACTCACTGCTGTATAAGGCACTCCATATCCTATGGACCAGCTCAAGACCATGCCCACAGATTGGTGGACTCCTAGTTTGACCTCTAGAACAAGAAGCTTCTCTTCCATGACGTCCTCTCTTTAGAGCTACCAAAAGGTCCAGATTCCTGCCTCAGTCTGGTACTCCCACCCCACAATCCACTATCCATATCTAGCTGGATACAGGTAGATTCTGACAAGTCCCACTCCTGCTCAATAACCTTCCATGGTCCCCTATTGTCCTCCGGGCAAAGTTCTACTAACCCAGTACTCAAGGACTTTCTAGTTTGTGTCTATCCAGATAAACAGGTCTGTTCACCATCTACTGGGCCCCACGATGCCGCACCCACCCTGCAAACTCTGGCCTGGCCCACCCATATGTGTACCCCCTGTCCAGCTCCTCTCTCAGGACTGCTAGGCACACCCAGGGCTTCAGGGCTGGCATCAAACACTGTTCTTGCTCCCACTCCCCTTTTCCACATGGCTCTTAGCACTTCCAGAGAGAACTGAGGCCATCTGGGAGAAGTCCAGAATATGCTCCCCACCCTCAGATTCAGCTCCTTC